GGACACCAAAAAACCCCAACTATTTCATAACAATTATTCACCTCAACAATCACCTTAAATCACAAACTGCCACTAGCTTTTACTTTTGGTAAAAATGTATACTTCAACAAACAGCCTGCATAAAGGAGCAATTGGCTGTAGAGTACAGCAACACTAAAATACAGACCCGTTCTACTGACCTTCATTAAGATAGCAATTTGGGAAGAACAAGAGCTTGCTTCAATAAATAAGTCACCACTGATTTTTATTTTTGTTTCATCCCACTGTTTTCTAGCGAAGACTAAACACACATTACTTTCACAAAATGTTTCTCTTCCCCACAGAAAATCCTGCAAGCTCAAAACCACTATCAGAACAGAAGCACAGATAACTTGGACTAATGACATTTCATCATCATCTAAATTGCAGTTTGGACACGCTGAATAGACCATAAAATCGACTTAAGAGTTTATCAACTATCTACACTTCATACAAACAAAAAAACTATGTTATCCATAAAAAATTCAACTCAATTTCCAAAGGGGAAAAAAAAAAAAAGGAGAGAAGCATCCACTTTCAGCACTTTCAGAAGTTTATTTTTACTGCACAAATTACAATGTGATGACAATTTTTTGTTATTTCTCCCAACCAAAGTAATAAACATTTAATACAAAACCATTTTAACAAGGTTAAAAAGCTGCGCACTTAAGATTTGAAAAAAACATGAATGATTGTGTGTATAATCCTAAACTACTGCCTTTATATAAAGGCACTGTAACATTCTATATATATATTTCATAAAGATAACCTATACCCTACCTTTATACAAATCTTATGTGTAGCTATTAATTTTTGCAGTAGTGATAGCTGCTCTTTAAATTTTTGCATAAGTGTAGATTTTCAGAAATTGATGATGACTGGAAGAATGTATTTGAATTGCACGATTAGAGGAAATAGGGCAAAACACAAAATTGCAGACTGCATCACTGCACCTGTTAAGTCTCTTAGAAACAAGATTTTGAAACATTACTGTGGAAGAGTTCCAGATATTTCAGTAGCTAGCTGCCTCTGAAGCTCAAGATCCTGAGAATTGTCTGAACAATTCAACGAGAAATTACCCATATAGTTATTTCCGAATAAAAAGTAAAAACCAATGGGAAGTTTTAATCCTGTATTCGGTTGTTGACTTTTTGTTTGGTTGTTGTTTTGTTTGGGTTGTTTGGTTTTTTTGTTTTGTTTTGTTTTTTTTAATTTGAAGATTGTGCTCCTAACAATCCATACTTTCCTCAAAAGTGTTTTATGTTGCAATTAAAAACCAGCTAAATATAATGACATTAAATCATGTCCCCAATGGTGCAAAGCATCAATCATTTCAATATCCTAGTAAGAGTTGTTATTTTCCTACTCTTCTCATACTTTGACTTTCCATTTGCCCTGGACTTCCAAAACAAGTTCAGATAGAAATCAGCTAGGAAAAAAAAAGGAAATCTAAAAGAGAAAATGGAACAGGTATTTGGAGATGTTTTAAGAACATTGATTTTAAGAAATCAATTGTAGTAGCAATATTTTCTACTACACCAAAGAGCCTGAGAACCAACTTTAAACAGCTGCTTTTTTCTTACTCTGCTGATACTCTGCTTTATAAGATCTGAATCCTAAAAAAAAGCAAACTGGAGCCTCAATGCAGTATCTGAAGACACACTAGTAGATGCCAGTTTTTTGCCTTACATTCTCCAAAGGGACCTTCCATGGAAAGAAATATGCCCATGCAAATCTAGACAAAAACTGGAGCTTGTTTCCACAACAGATACAATAATTACAGAGTACAGAATCACAACTCTGTTTCTATCGGGTAAGTTAACAATAAATTGTAATTCAGTCAGTCCTTCAAGAATACACATTTTATTTAAGTACAAGAAATGTTGTCCAGAAGTCAATTTTGCATTAAAAATATTTAGCAGCCACTTAAAAATTATATACAAAATAAATTTAATGTACAAAATGCCTTAGGAGCATACAGCCTGAATACCAGAAGTAGCATGTCTATGTAGTTTAGTATTGTCTTTTTTATGTCCATATGCAAACAGACACAAGTATTTTGCAATGTTAATACGTGAATTCCAAAACAAATTACACAATTAACCCATGGTAGACCAAGATACACACTAGCTGCAAAATGGAGGGGGGGAATTATATACACATCAATAAAGTAAGCTCACTGTGTGAAGCACAAAAAAAGACAGATCTAGTTAACAAGAGCTCCAACATTCCTCAGGCAGAAACACTTCAGTGCAAAGGCCAAACACAGACAAAAAAAATCCACGTACCATAATATCATGCAGTATTCTAAGACAATTAAACCTGAGGACCTGGTTCTCAGTAAGGGAAATAAGCAATAATAAAGGAAATTATTCATATACCAGTTCATTTTAAAAGCAAATACAGTAATAAACAGCTTTTTGTTTATAAAAGCAAAACTGTAAAATTTTCCAAGCATGGAACTAAACTTCTGCTGAAAATTAACTGGAATTCAGGTTTGTCTACCAATTAGGCACATTCTACAGTGTTCAGCCTGCAGGTCTGTGCTAACTGAAGGCCTGCCTCAGGATTCAGGATTGCACGTTGAAGAAAAATCCCTTCCTCTACTCCTTAGACACTGACCAGCATGCTTTGCTTCCTCAAGACTATGAACACTACTCAGGCAAATGCAAATGAAAAGTATTTATACAGGAAAATCTAGCTACCTAACAAGACCCAAAGTTGGTTTCTAAGCTATCAGTCCCACAGTGAGATCAACAATAAACCTATAATGCTGATGCCCTTTGGCTTCAATCACTTGCTTAAACTTTCATCTGCATGAAACCTATTGCAAAACTGAGCTCTAAGCACCACATATTGCCACCTACTGCTTGTACACGCTTTCCAGTGTCTTTAAAATTAACAAATTCTAAGAAGTTTTATGCAAAGGAGAGCAGGCAGAGGAATGAGAAAACAGACTAAAACCAAAGAGACTACGAAAAAAGATTTAGAGGAAAAATAAAGCTATTCAATGAGAATCTAACAAAAATTCTACCTACACTAATTAGGGCCTCAAGAGTCTGGAGCATAAGAAAGCAAAACCACGTGCAAATGTACCATGCATGATGGCACCAAACTCTGCACTAATATTTTACTTTTAAAAATTAGAATTTTTCTACTAGAAAAATACAATTTCGGAAAAGCTGAACTTAAATTATAAACCCTCCAAACAGGACATTTTGCTTCACTGGGAAAAACAGACTTGGACTTTTAAACAGTGGGAAGATAATATTTGGACTAACTACAGAGAAACTAACCGCTGAAAAGCATTTCATACTGTTCAAAAAGCAGAGTTTGCTAATAAGACTAACTAATAAAACAACCAGTATACAATCAGTGTCATCCACACTCCTACAGGTAGTCTTCTGAGGAAATACAACATTTCTGCTCCTCATTATGAACTTACAGTATGTGCACTGGGTTATATTATTTACACTATGATGCTTTAAGGCACTTAAAATAGCTATGGATACAGATGACTAGATTAACATGTCAACTAGAACATAAACACTGCAGCATTGACATTATATAAATTTTTTATTAGTACAGGTAAGCAACATTTAATTCAAAAGGTCAGAGGTCACGTTGCTCATAGTCCTAAATTACAATAGCATCAACAAACAAAATGCAGAACATGAAATTTGTACCTGAGAGCACTGCAATACGTTTTGTTTTTATTTAGAAACAAAACTGTAGTGCAACCTGAAGTCAGAAATAAAACTAAAGTTTTTCTTTTTCCTCTTGATGTAAAATGCTCAACAAAAAATAGATTAAAAATAGATGAAAACTGTATTTACTGTTCCATACTAGCTGCCAAATTTAGCATGAATAAGTGTATGGCAGTATATGAACAAATGTATTTTTCCAGCTGCAGCAGTACTTTTATTGTACTTATTGCTGTTTAGGATCTAAAATACCAACACTGGAAATATATTAAAAGTAGTAATGTGCACTAGAAGTTGAAGCATATTCAAAGTAACAGCACTGAGTGCAAACAGTAGGAAAAAAAAAAAATCTATTTCCATTACTAAAGGAAGCTTTCTTCAAAACAGACAAGAGGCAGACAGAAACAGCACTTGTGCTTTGCCTGAATGTTTTTGGTGGGTTTTTTTTTTCCACTGAGCAAAGACTCATGCTCAGTTGAAAGAACTGTTATTCCACTACTTTTCTGAAAGACTTAAGAATAAACCACAGAATCCTGATGAAACTCCTCATTAAATACATGCAACATGGATGCATCTACAAAATAGCTGGTTTAAAATTCTGATTACATTTTGACTGCTGACTGGACCAAGGGAGCACACAATTTTAATTGCTTTCTCACCCGAAAGTTTGGTCCTATAAGAAAACTACAGATCCTACCACAATTAAAACTGTCAAAACCTGAGGTTAGTGAAGCTTCTGAAAACTAAAAGGTATTTCTGTTCTAATATTGTAATCAGTATAAAGATAGAAGAAAATAATGGCAATGACTGGAAACATCAATTACAAGACTGCCAGTCTAGTATGATACCTTGTCAGAAAAATCTAGCTTTAAGAACATTTAATAAAACTGTTGTAATATAAACTGAGCTTCCTGATCCCCAAACTACACAATCATACAGCAAAACTATATTACTTTACAAAAAAATAACTCAGTGTTCTTCCCAATGAACTGCACCTTCAATACCTAGAACGTTTCAAGAAGTCTAATGGTGTTTATAGAATCTTGTACATGCAAAACTTACATACTAAAGCTCAAGACTTTGTGAAAGCCAAAACTGTTAAATTGTCTGTGAAAATGCAGCAAAAATAATGATATTCAGTGCAACAGCTTAAAAGTCCACATACAAATTTGCTATCAAACATTGAGAATTGTGATATGTCAATTAAAAAAAATAAAAATCAATTCTGGATTATAAATAGGTCCTATACAACAATTTTTTTTTTCTCCCCCTTCTTCACTACTGTCTTGTAAAAGACTTTTTTTGATTAGCTTTCACAATATCATCAGGAGACGCTGACTGGAAGTCAAATGGTGCTATGGCTAATAAAGGACCAGTTTCCTTGGGTTTTATATCTTGCACTTGTCTGCTGTACAGGAAGGCTTTATGCATACCAACTGTGCGCCGCTTGTAACCTTTCGGAGGGTAACGGAGACACAAGGTTAAGGCAAAAGCTGAGGGTCTTGCACGCAGCGCCTTCATCCACGAAAGCGACAAATCCCGGCTCTTAGGAGCGAGCCCCCTTTTCGTTTTTTTATTTGCTTTGTCAAAGCCAGAACATTTTCCTTGTTTTTCTTTTATAAGCTTGGGTTCGGGGTTTAAGGTATGTGACTGCCCTACCACATTTTGTTCTGCAGACGTATCTGCATTTTTTATGAGGATGCTTAAATCTATGCTGGTTCCTTTAGAAGGCCTCGACTCAGTTACATTGAGCATGGGGAAGTCTGTCCTTTGTTGAGTTTTATCTATTTCAATAGTCTCTGCTATTAAATCTGAGAGCGATAAACTCTCAGCCTCCTTTGGTGGAGAAACTTTAGAGAGAGCTAGAGAAGACAAAGATCCTGTTAGCTCTGGCATCCCACACGAAGTTTGGGGTTGACTTACTAGCTGAGATAATGGTGAAGTTCCCAATTTCATGTCAGCGAAGCTTGCTGCTGACTGGGCATAAAGATCAGCCAAAGAGTAACAGTGGCTAGCAGTGCTTTCCTGGTGCTCCTGAAGTAAGTCAGCCAATGATGTACTTCCAGACCTTAACACTGACAAAGCAGCCATGTCTGAAGAGGGGCTTTCTTTTTTTCTGCTTTGCATAACTGAAGAAAAATTTTCAAGATGTTCATTCTTTCTATCTACAGTATGACTGACTTCGTTATCAAGAGCCAATTTTCCTAAAGCACTTGTTAAACATGGAGAACTGTAAAAATTCATATGACTACTACAATCAGAAGTATTTGAGGAAACAAGAGGAATGCTCTCTTCAGGACTCAGAGAATCACAAACCACACTCTGCATCAGCAAGGATTTCAAGTCCTGCATTTCCCTGCATTGCAACTTCTTAGAAGAAGAATTTCCAGATGGGTTACTTCCTACACTAAAGTAAACATCTTCACGGTCAGGAATCGAAGCTACAGAATTAGCACTTTCTGGTAGCTGCTTCTCTGCCTGTCTATTCACAGGTTCACAAAATGATCCTTCACACAAATCATCAGTGAAAGAGGATGACAGAACAAGTGAAGAGTATTTCAATCCCTTCCTTTCAGATGAAGGTATATTGGATTTTTCAGCATTAAGAGGCATTTTGTCATTTGTAATTAAAGGGTAACAAGATGAACCACTTTTGGCTGTCAAGTTTCCAAACTCAGGTTTGTTGGTGTTGTCAGCAACACTTTTTACTGCACAAGACAAACTGTCTGTATCAGTACACATTTCTGGACAACAAAGTAAGTCACCTTACCTTACAATAGCCAATAATTTTCAGATGGAAGTGCAGTCCCAATGAAATATTCCGGTTTTTTTTTTTTTTAAAGTTGGCAGCAGCAGCAACAGCAATTAAAAAAAAAAAAAAAAAAGAAACATGAAAAGGCATTTCATTACTAAGTGTTAGCCAAAGATATGCAATGTTCTACAATTAATTTACAGTATCTAAAGAAATACCTAAGAAACTTTAAGAACCAGCAAAGAACACCAGTGAAGATTACAAAGCCATAAGGATAAATTAAAAATAAGAAAGTTACAGAAAAGATGCTACCAAAAAAGGAAGGTATTGAGGATGGGAGAAGTCAGTTCATCAAACAAATAATGGAAATGTATAAAACTCAAAGGTATTGCCCAACTTTTAGGACATGTACTCAATCAGCTAAGTCATATATTAGAAATCAGAAATTTACCGTGAACTGCAGACAGTTGCAGTTTGAATTTAAGCTGACACTTAGGTTTTATTTTGACTTCTGTCTCAAGAAAAGATACTGTTTCCTTTAAATGTTTTTAGAACACAGAAGAGCAAGTTTGTCTTTTCTAATTTTCTAATAAATGACTAATGCAATAACAAGCATCTTCATAGCTTGTAAAGCCAAAATTAGACTGTACGTAGAAATGAATCATCTTGAATGTAAACAATTAAATAGAAGTATACCTTTTGTCATCTTTCCTACAACCACGGTTTCTTCCTGGGGGGTCTTCATGTTTTGCTTACTCTCTTTCGAAAGCACAAGATGCAAAGCCTTCTCTGGATCAAATCCACTATCCAGTACTGCTTGCACCATTGCTTCCTCTGGTACAGACTCTGCCAAAACTTCTCTCATTTGATCAAGGCATGAATTAAGACGGGCTAAAAGAAACACATAACTGTTATAAGCTGCACCAAAAAAAAAAAAAAATATCTTAAGTGGCCCAACCACTAGCACCAGATATCTGATTAACAAAAATAGGAGCAAAACATCACAGTAAGAGATAAACACTCTAGAAATTAATTTCAATCTTACACATTGCGATGATAAACTTTGCCCAAGAACACTGTATTTGGCCAATTTCAGATACTGCTATAAGGAAAATATCACTATTTAGTATAAAGTCTCAATACTTAAATACTTTGCTGTTGTAAAGTTAACTATCTTCACTGCAGAGAAGAAATATAAATAATCACCTTAAAATTAACCAAAGTAAATTTAGTAAATCAACATGGAATCCCATTGAACTGCCCATTTGAAGTGTTTACAGATGCTATTATTAACACCCAAAGTAAAACAACATTTTCAGGGGCCTCAGACCTTAACAACTTAAAACTGTGGATCAACATCTCAGGTTTTAAACTACCTGCAATCTCTATTTTTCCAGAAACTGTAATATATTTTTTGACTGATAAAATAAATTTTCTTCAGAGCTCATTTTTGCAACTAGTATAAGCCTTGTCTAAGGTAAATTTCTTTAGTCTAAACTTGCTGCACAACAAGAGACTGAAAGTTCACCAGGCTCTCACTCACTGGAAGTAGTATGGTGATCAGACATAAGAACACAAGAGAACAGAAGAAAATCTTTCCAAATATGACAGTTTCTGCCAGTCTGGATTTTAGAAAATGGGAACTGAACAGGAAGGCAACTACAGATTCTTTATTTGAACACCTCCTCAAAGACTGTGATGTTTAAAGAACTTTGCTAAAGAAATTCAACTCCACAGAATTCCAACTTCCTCGAGGTTACTTAAATCAGTAACGTTGATCCATAATCCAAATAGCAAGTGAATGTTCCCCAGACATTTGCTCTGCAAAACCAGTACTGGCAGAGTTCTGCATGATGTGCTGGTTACCCAAGGCTCAACAAGGAGTCTTGCCAAACTCGTCACCACCACACTGACTGTAACCTGTTATTTTGTATTAATGGCCAACACTGCACACTATGCCAAACAGAACAGGTCTTGTGGGACTGCTGCTGTTTTCACAGTAGAAATGTTTTTTTATAGGTTTCATTTACATCTTTTTTTAAGTCCAGAATATTAATTTCCTTCGTGATCCAATAACAATTTTTAACTGATTGAGTCTGCAAAAGCATTCTGAAAAGCCAGCATACAGTATTATCTAGGTCATCTAATAATGTGGATATATAATAATAATGCCTTCTACAGCATTATTTCCTGCTTGAAAAACATGTACATTACACCTCAATTTATCATATTTACCCATATCTCTACACATTAGCATAGCTTCTACAAATTTACTTGACATAGAATCTAGGTAGAATAAAACCAATCTATTGCTTCTGAATTGTCTGCAACTTGTGTTCAATAGCAAACTTAATTCATGCATTTTATTGTCTATTCACTCATCAACACACTTTACTCAGATCATAATAATTTAAAAACAAACAAACATCATATTATTCCCAGAACATAAAAACTAAGTCAAGTATTAATCCTTAGGACTGTGGATCTTTTTCACAAAGTATGTAATTAAGCTACCAGGCAGCAAGTTTAAAAAACAAAAGCAAGTATTTCTTCCCCAACCACTCAGCTCAGAACTTGGCTTGTAATATGGAATTCGTAACTGCAAGACCAAACAAAAACCAAAGTCTAATGAATTCAAAACAGGATAAGAAAAGATTGTAGAGGATACAGGTATCTAAAGATCTTGGCTGCTGATTCAAGGACATGTGCGGTTTTGAAAACCTCCTGAATACTGCTAATTGCCATAATCTGGAATGTAATACAAGCAAAATACAAGCAATACAACTACTCTGTTTCTAATAGTCTTCCCCGAGCAGCCATTTGCCAAGTCAGGACCCTGAGCTACATGGATGCTTAGCCTGAGCCAGTACAGTTGATCTTACATTTCAGTTTTATATCAAATCTCATTATTCTAATAAGAAACTAAGAACAAATTTCAATGTGTGCAACCAAGTTATAAGAATTACACAAAAGTAGTTACAAACTTGCAGAACCACCACTGAAGCCATGCTTACAAAAGGTAATATTCTATAAGATTACAGAATTGTGAGCAGCGTCAGTCAAGTAACAAACACTAATTTAAGACTATTTTAGTTCAGAGAACTATTTCTCTTCTATAGTTACCTCTATCAACTTCAGTCAACTGACGGCCAGATGTGAAATAATCAGCAGTATCTTCTGTACCTTCATAGCCATATTCTTCTTCTAACGGCTCAGCAAATGCCGCTGGTTTGTCTCTTCTGGAGTAGATAAACTGAGCTGCTGCATTAGGTAAAACACAAAGTATTAAAAAAAATAAAAAAGTCAAAACTTTTTTCCTCTTTTGGATACACAACATTATTTAAAGGGAAAGAAACATTATCACGCTGACCGGCTGCCGTGGTTTGT